TTCGCTGCTGTGGGCATGCGCCCTGCCCTCGTGCATCATATTAGCTCTTTTGTTTTACCAACAAATTAAGTGGTATGAACACCTGCTGTGGGGTAGGTAGTAGACGTACCGTGGTGAACAGAACGGGGTAGGGGAACTTCCCCTAAATAAAGACACACGTGTAAGCACACTTGTAGATTCCAACAAGTGCGACGGAGAAAACAGACAATGGAGTATTTCCAGCTGGCTGACCAGGAGAGCCTCTCTGAGGCAGAGTAGAAGTGTCAGGGAAGAACATTCTGGCAAAGGGAACAGGCAGGATTTAGGGTGGGGACACTGTTGGCGGCAGTTTTAGTGAAGTGCAGTGAACTCATCAATAGAGGAAATGGAGGGGTGCTTTGGTTGCTGAAGGGCATGTTGGTCCAGAAAGGCTTCTTGAAAGAGGCAACTTCTTATCTATTCTTAAAGGGGGAGTAAGACTTAGCCAGGCTCAAGAATGGCAAGTGGAGGGTGCTCCAGCCAGTAGGAACATCCCCTGCAGAGGCCCGAGCAGTTGAGGGTGGGGAGGGCATGCAAAGTTGGTTTGGGATGTAGAGGAGAAGGGGAGAGTTGGTCAGTTGAGCATGGACAGCTCTCTGAGGGAGTTTTGTGCACAGGAAAGGAAGGGATGGAGTAGTAACTGGCAGGAAAAGAAGAGTCTTTTCGAAGATGAGCAATAGAGGAGCACATATTTGCACCAAGGGAATGAGCCACGGGAGCACGGTTTGTGGGCCATAGCCCACTGAGCCTTAAGGAAGCTTTTTGCATCCTTAAAGAGATATAAAACACCAAAGAAGAACCCTCAACAGACTAGATGTGACTGCAAAGCCTAAGTCAGGTATTTGCTCTCTGGCCCTTTCCAGGAAAGCTTGCCAGTTCTCACACCTGGGAGTAAAGTGTGGGATGGGAAGAGATGCAGAAGGAGAGGTTGGCAGGGGTCCTTGAGTGGGTGAGAGGGTTTAGTCATGGCTCCAGAACAAACTGGCCTGGAGCTTCAAACAGCCTCTGTTCCCATGGTCGCACACATCTGTGAGTGGGTTGGGAGTTTGGCCAGGGCACAGCCTGGACGTGGGGACTCCTGGTCTCTGTGAGGTTGCGCAGAGGATGGAGAAGTTGGGGGGGAAGGGCAGGTGTAGTGTGACAGCCATCAGCAAGAAAGGACCCCACGACTTTTGGGAGGAAAAACTATATAGCACTTTATTGAAATTAATAAAAGCCCCAAGTAAATAGAAAATATGTAGTAGTTATGAATGGGAATTCTCATTGTAGGGATGTCAACTGTTCCCAAATTAATTCATAAACTTTGTCTCAAATTTGCAATAAGGTTTCTCACTAGATTTAGTAATCTGATTCTCAAATTTACATGAAAGACACAAAAATTAATATCTGAGGTAGCTGGGCCAGTGTCGCTCAGTGGTTGAGGCCCCATTCCTGTTGGCGCATGCCCGGGTGCCCAGTAGGGGGCGTGCAGGAGGCAGCGGATCAATGGTTCTCTCTCATTGGTGTTACTATCTCTCTCTCCCTCTCCCTTCCTCTGAAATCAATAAAAAACTTTTTTTTTTTTTTAGATCTTATTTTATTTTTTTCAGAGAGTGGGAGGGGGAGAGAAAGAGAGAAACATCAGTGTGAGAGAGGCACATCAAATGGTTGCCTCCCGCTTGAGCCCCCACCGGGGCCATGCCTGCAACTGAGGTACGTGCCCTTGGCTGGAATCAAACCTGGCACCCTTTGGTCCGCGGGCCAACGCTCTAACTACTGAGCCAAACCGAGCAGGGCTCAATAAAAAACATTTTAAAGAAAAAGAATATCCAAGGTAATTTTAAAGATGAATGAGATGGTGCACTTGCCTGACAGGATTACAAAGAATTGTGTGTGTGTCTGTATTTTAAAGTTGCATTATTAGGTACATGTGAGACAGACTTAGAATAGTATTATACTTATTTTTTTTTTAGTATTTTTTACTTTTGAACTGACCTTTTAGTCATGAAATATCTCTTTTTATCTCTAATACTTTTTTTTAATTGTACAAGCTTTTTGTACTTTTTTTTTTTATTATTGATTTGAGAGAGGAAGGGGGAGAGAGAGAGACATCGATTTGTTCCACTTGTTTATGCATCATTAGTTAATTCTTGTATGTGTCCTGACCAGGATAGAA